CATGACAAGCAGCCCATATTCAGAAGACCAGAATAACAGGCACTCCAAGCATGAACCACTAATGCAGGAAAAGCCCCTGTTCTGTATTAAGGTCCCCTTGCTACACGACTCTATTTGATCTTGATTTAATCAATTTTACCTGAGCAACTATGCTTGTAATTCTATTTAGTTGACCATAGTTTTGTCTCACCTCATGCTACCTAGCGAGTTCCCATGTCTCCCACCTTGCAACTGCCTCACTTCATGTATCTGTTCTATAAAAATCACTAGAAAAGGCAGGTTCCTTGGCAATCCACTGGGGTCCTTCTTTTGTCACTGTCTCGGACAAGAGCCTTCTTTTCCCCAATAAATATATTCTGCTCTTAACTTTCATTGTTCCTAAAACTCATTCTTCTATTTTAGACAACACAAACTTGTCCCAGGTATCTTTCAGGCTGGGCGTTTCTTTCCCCTACATCTGTATCACAACAGGGATAGGGCTAGGGTGTTGGCTCAGTAGAATAAGCGCTTGCGTGGCAAGTGCAAGGGCCTGAGTTCAATCCCTGGTTCCTCCAACAACAACAACAACAACAACAACCCAACAGGGGAAAAGCAACAGCATATGCGTTCTGATACAATCAGCTGAATTCTATACAATTTCCATATACTTCTTTTGAGTGAGATCATGAGGGAATGATCAAACACACAAAGGAAGGACATTGTATAAAATACTTGTTCTCTACACTTCAAAAGTGTCAGCATCATGAAAGATAAAAGGCTGAGAAACTGCTGTAGATTCAGGAAGTCTAACAGATTTGTTAACTAAGTACAGGGAATGGATTGGACCAAAACATTTAAATACTGACTATATATTAGGAAATAATCTAACATCAAGGTGAAATTTCTGTAACTTGAAATATTGTAGCTTTGTAAAAGAATGTTGTTTTCAGGAAAAACAAGCCAAGGGGTTTATAAGTAAATGATCATAATATTTGCAACTTACTTTCTAATGATCAAACAATAAAAAATCATTTTCTGTGTGGACACATATAAACACAAATAAGTAAATACGATAAAATAGTAAGAACTGTAATTTTTGCCCTGCTGAGCCAGCCACTGAGTCCAGGCATGGTAATGCACACTTGTAATTCCAGTACTGGAAGGCTGCAAACAGGAGGATCACTGTGAGTCTGAGCTGTGTAACAAGACCCTGCACCAAATAAACAAACAAACAAATAAACACACACACACACAAAACTGTAATTTTAGAAAAAAGTTTTACTTTTATAATAATTCTATAGATTTAAAAGCTTCCAAAATAGAAAGCTTTAAAATAAAAAATGACAGCATCTCTTTACCACTCTATGTAGTTAATTTCTAATATACTCCAAAGACTGGGCTCCAAAACCACCCCTACACATACATCATAGGTTATAATGAGCTAAGCATTGTCTTTCTCTGCTTTTCATATATTTTATCATTCATTCATCTACTCAACATATAGTTACTGAATATGTCTTATACATTGTGCTCTTTAGTGTCAGGGATACAGATAAACAAGAAAAGTCCCCTATCTTCCTGGGGCATATACAGGGTAACAGACCTAAAACAACTGACTGTGTAAGTACGTGCATATTTTAACTATGGTAAGGATAAGTTCAATGTGCTAACCTGGTCAATAAGTGGGCTGCAGAAAGGTGTCACACTGCATTAAGTATGTTTCTAATCAAATGGTGGATAACTATGCACAGGTATTTGTCTTGCTGGGGGATTCAAAAGTTTCAAATGAATTCTTTGGGTTTAATCCCTTGAGCTGGGTGATACTAGAGGGTCTATGATTGTGGTAATCATTGGCGGGACCTTACAGACCTTGGAGCTGGTGTCAGTACTATAATCATCTTCGAATATGGACCCAGTGAGAAGAATGCATACTATCTATGTACCTTTAAGGATTTTTTTTTTTTTTTTTTTTAAATACATTAGGATCATGTTAAGGTTTGGGTCTTATGTACTATTCTGATTTTTGGTACCAGAAATTGAACTCAGGACCTTGTACTTGCTAGGCAGTCACTGGCTGTGCAACTGAACTATCTCCCCAGCCAAGGTTTGGATCTTAAATGTCCCCCAAAGACTCATATATTAATGAGTCCTTGGTCCTTGGCTGATGGTACTACTAGGCAGGGGAGGAACCTGTAGGAAATGTGATCTAGTTGAAGGAACATGCTCTTGAAGGGCTACTGGAATCTTCCTCCCCTTCTGTGGATCTTCGTCACCATAAGGTGAGTAGCTCTGCTCCATCAGATGATCCCCACCATCATGGTCCACCTCATCACAGGCCCAAGTGATTATGGCAGTGAAACCTTGGAAACCAAACCAAAATAAATCTTCTCCCATTTTTAGGTGATCTTCTCAGATGTTTTGTCACAGCAGTGGAAAACTGACTAACACAGATTACTTCGTATTTGTTAGTTAAAGATGCTGTGTCATATAACTGTCTAAACATTACCTTCTAATAAACTACATAATTTTGAAAATTTGAGTAGGTTCTTAGAAGAAAATAAACCAGATAACCTTTTTCTAGATTATATTAAAAATATATACTTTAGTTAACTTCAAATATTCCTTTTACTATTTTACTTATAAGTTTATTTCAAAGAGTAGATTCCCTTATCCATAGGTATTACATCTATACTATGAATAAAAAGAACAGAAGAACTGCTCTTCTCCCCCATTGCTTGAAACCAGATCATCAAACACACACACACACACACACACACACACACACACACACACACACTGTTTTGTCCTATACATAGATACCTATGATAAAGTTTAATTTACAAATTAGGCACAGTAAGACACTAGCAACAATAACTAATAATAGCACTTTGAATCTTTGGACAAATAAAAATCTTTAGAACTGCTTTATAAAATTTCACCTGTTTTTTAAGTAGAAAAGTTTATTTTTAGGTTGTAGAATTTTAATGAAAAGAGTAGAGTAATATAAAATTTAGCTACAGTAACTTAATATTTTAACATCTCCCATAAGCCTATATGGGATTTTCCAACTTGTTTTTAATCTTCTATTTTTTT